TGTCCCATATTCATGCCCCCTTGCTACGTGACTCATGACTCGCTTCCCCATTTGGTAGAGGATTTTATCAGTTTTACCTGAGCAATGGTGTGCTTGTAATCTCACTGGCTAACCATAGCTTTGTCCTACCTCATGTCCACCTAAGAGAGTTCCCATGTTCTCCACCACCTCAGACCGGCCTCACCCCGTGGTTTTCCTCTATAAAAGTTCCTGGAAGAGACAGCTTCCGGAGACAACCCACTAGGGCCCCCTCCTGTCCCTCTCTTGGATAGCTTTCTTTCCCTCAATAAATATTTTCTGCTCATAACCTCCGTTTGGGGCTGGGGAGATGGCTCAGTGGAATAGGTGCTTCCCTGGCAAACACAAGGGCCTGAGTTCAATCCCCGGTTCCGGAAAAAATAAAATAAAATAAAACCTCCGTTTGTTCCTAAAATTCATTCTTTGGTTTTAGAGAACACGAACTCATCCCAGGTACATTTTAGGTTGGGAGATCAGTTTTTCTCCGTGTCATTTGGAGGTTTCCCTGTATCATTAGCACTTGGGAGGCTGAAAACGGGAGAATCACTACAAGTCTGATGTAGATAGTGAGACCCTGCAGACCCTGTACTAAACACATTTAAAAAAAAAAAAAAATGCATAGCCGTGCTAAGCAGTTCTTCCTCATTTTAGAATTCTGATTCCTCAGGTTTCCCTACCTCCTTCCTCAACCTTTTCCCTAAGGCATCTTTTCTCCTCCTAGGCTTCACTTCCTTTTAAAAAATGTATTCCTAAGGAATGAAAGGAAGGAAGAAGGAAATTCTCCTTCTCTCATGCATCTCCAACAGCCCACAGGGCTCTCTTCCACCTTCCAAGATTAATGCATACTTCTTAAGGATACAGCTGTAGTCTCCAAGGTTAAGTTCTTTGATAGCCTTTTTTGAAAACTCGTTTATTTCTATAGACAGAAGCCTGATAAAGAAGGAGAAACCTCAAGTTCACGTTTTCAATTTGAACTTTTACATCATGTAGGAACGATGAGTTAATACTAGGTCCTTATGCTTAAATTTTCCTGATGCTGTATCTAAAGTTCTCAGATAATATTTAAGTTGAGTTTAGGTTAAATGAAGAGAAGAATAAAATAAATTTCAGTTCCTGAACAAAGGTAGTGAGCCTTTTAGCAGAAAATGAAATGTCCATTCTGTAATAGCATCTCATGCACATAGGGTTCAAACAACTTAAAATGGACTCTGTCACCTCAACTCAAAGCTGGACTGCTACAAAAAGGCCTGGACACTATCAAAGTCATGGATTTTTCCTTATTTGTCCTTCTTTTAACTCAACATTGTGTGCATAAGTGATTTCAGTTGATCCTTTTTTGTTGAAGTTTTTGTGTTCATCCATAAAAGACTAGTCACTGTGAAGTAACGGCCGCCAAACCTCGGCCAGCAAAGGCTCCTAAGGCCCCTCACGTCTCTGCTCATTTCTCCACTGGGGTGTGTGCCCCTGTTTTCTGCTGCTGGCCAGTGACTCCCGGTGGAAGAGAAAGGAAATGACTGCAACCTAAAATGACCTGCCAACTGTTCGCAGAGAATGTGTGGAGTGCTCGTCTTTGGTATTCCACAACATTAACTGATATTTACAATAAAATACCATCATAATTGATTTTAAAAAATGTATTCCTTTCCAGAAGCCGGGTGTGGTGGCACATACCTATAATCCCAGTACTCAGAAGGCTGAGGCAAGAAGATCTAGGAGGGTTCAAAATCAACCTGGGCTACATAGTTCAAGGCCGGCCTGCACTACACAGTGAGACACTGTCTCAAAAAACAAACCCCAAAGATAAAACAGAAATTTAAAAAACAAAAACAAAAACTTTTTTTAAAAGGTCACTAGAGGGCTGGAGAGATGGCTCAGTGGTCTAAAGCACCTACTTGAAACAAACTTGGCAAAGCACAGGGACCGTGGTTCGATCCCCAGCACCATATGCCAGCCAGACCCGCCCCCTGGTGGGCTGAGCTGGCCACACACACACACACACACACACACACGATAAATAAATGTAATAAATAAAAATAAATAAATAAAAAATAAAAGGTCACTAGACACAATGCGGTTCACACCTTGAGCTCACTCTGTAGCCCAAGCTGGTGTCAAATTCGAAATGATCCTCCTGCCTCAGCCTCCTGACTTCTGTGATTACAGGCATGCGCCACTACAACCGGCTCATTCGATTCTGAAGTTCAGGAGGACGTTTTGAAACCAGAGAGCCTCACGTTCAAATGTGGCCCCTTGTGCTCGCTTCGGCAGCACATATACAAACGTGGCCCCTGTCTTCATGGCCTTGGACAGCTCTTAACCTCCCTAAACCTGTAAGCAGGGGGTGGAGGTCTCTCCTACCCAGGTGAGCACCAGGACAGCACAAAGCCCAGGACAGGACAACTCCAGTGACATCATACGGCTCCCAAGTGGCCACTAGAGCCACATTCCTTTCCAGGGAGTGCTCGGGGAGAGAAAGGCATAGGGGCGGAGGGGAGAAGACAGGAGGAGCCTTGTTAGCCAACTAGTGGGACGGGGTCAGCACGGAGGGCAGTGCGGCCAGCTCTTTGAAACGGAAGGCTTTAAAATTTAAATGGCTTCCCAGCAAGATAAGCAGACTGGCTCCCAGCAAGGAAACGGAACTTGGCTGGGCCCCAGAACTTTCCCCACCCCAGCCCTCCTGAGACTTCCTCTTGTGGTTTCTCAAAAGTACAACCTGTTCTTCGTACACTAGATAGAGAGGACAACAGCGGAGGGGGCAGCAGGGGACAAGGTCCCCAGGAAGGAGTAAGAGGGGGCGGGGAGCAGCCTGATTCCCTCTGAAAGTCTCATCCTGCCTCCCGGTCATCTGGCCCTGACCCCTCAGCCTGGAGTCCTATGATGACGCCCACCCATCCCCCTTTCACAAGGTGGCTTCGTCCTCCCCGCCAGACACATGGGAAAGAGGACCCAGAAAGGAGGGAAAGTGTCCAGGTGCCAGCTCACACCAGCCGCGCTGCCCCTGCCCACCCTAGGGAGCTGGATGCTCAGAAGCTGCGAGCTAGAGCTCTCCGTGTAAAACGTTCCCAGGTTCCAGCTCAGGGTAGCCTCCTGGAGTGAGTTTTTTTTTTTTTTGTCTTTTTGAGACAGTCTTGGTATGCAGTTCAGGCTGGTTTTGAACTCACTTTGTAGTCCAGGCTGGCCTTAAACTCGCAAGCATCCTCCTGCCTCAGCCTCTGGAGCGATTCTTTCTTAGCCAGGAGTGGGGTCCCCCACCTGTAATCCCAGTACTTGGAAAAGTGAGGCAGGAGAATCACGGCAAGTCGGAGGACAACCTGGACTACACAGTAAATTCAAGACCAGTCTAAATTACATAGTGAGAACCTGGTCTCAAATAAACAAATAATGAAAAAAATAAATAAATAATGAGAAAACGAATTCTTACACTCAACCGTGAGTTACTTAGGGACCTCCTTCCTCTGAGAGTGAGCCATGCATGTGGGAAGCATACACATACATGCCTACACACACACACACCTCTGTGCTCCCAGCTCGAGCCCCAAAGAGAGCTAACAGCGGCTCACACATCCACGTCACTCATGACTGACACAGTGACCCTTCAGGACCCCAAATCCAGACTCCCCACTGGGCCCACCCAGGAGCCAGTGGCTGTGTGGTCAGGAACAGGTCCTCCTGAATCCCATGACTGGTTCCAACCCCTGCTCGGCCGCTGACTTTTGACCACCCTACAGGAAGACTAGTCATCCCTGTGCCTGGTCCCACAGGGTGGAGATGTCCCTGTGACACTTCCTAGGACTATGAGGAGGACCCTACGCATGATACGGGACATCAAAGCCACCAACGGGCACCTAAGCAATTGTGCCGTGCACCTGTTAGCTAACATTCCATGCCCCAGAAGGATGGGAATGGATAGGAAGACACGCGGGGCCACATATGCCGGTGGATGCAAGGCGCAAGCAGTCGAAGCCCCACTGGGCAGGTCAGAAGCTCTGACCTGCACACGGCATGTCCCTGCCCCCTCACCTGTGTAGTCAGTGCATGACCACAAGGAGTGGTGTCAAACTCAGAAACCACTGTACAAGCGACAAGTCTCCACTCTTGAGAGCCCAGAGGTAGAGGAGAGGACACAGGAAGCCCCTTGACAGCCACTTCTCCACCCACGTCAGCTCGGGGGCCAAGAGCAAGCCCTCTTACAGGAAGCTGCTCCAGAGCCCAGGACGGCACTGAGACCCAGGATGGTGTGGACTCTCACCAAGCCCGGTGGATCCACTGTCTGCACCCAAAGGGAACCCCACAGGGCTGGTCCACCTTGGTGCCTACCGCCTTTGTCACCTGGAAGGTGGGAGGAAGTGTAGGACTGGTTCGGGATCACCATGTGTCCCTGTGCTTGACACCAGCCAGGGTTCAGCCCAGCTCTGGGGGATAAAGGCCCCAAAGACTGGCTTCCAGGCCACCTGGTTGGTGACCTGCAATGCTTTTCTGTGAAAGTTTTCCAAGTCCTCTAGCTACAGCGCTGGACCCGTCATCGCTGCTGACTGACGTGGAGAGACCAGCCCGGGAACATGGTATCTCTGCACAGCATCCGTACAACCTGCAGCACTCGACCGATGCAAAGAAAACACCCCCTCCCTTGGTGATAGCGGCCAGTGTCCTCCACACCGGAAGACACAGGCAGCGAGATCACCCATGTGCCCACCAGGGAACACCGCAGAGGATCCCCTCTTGGCTCTAGCGCGACGGTCACAAGCGAACCCAAGAGCTCCACATACTCAGCTGCCTGTTAGGAGATTTCTCTGTCCTCGTGGACAGGTCAGCTCTCTTGGAGAAACAAGGCTGCGCTCTGGAGACTATGGGGCCGTGATGAAGGCACGCACCCGTTAGGCTCCTCGTTCGGGTTCCCAGCTTCAGGTCCTTGGCCAGCCTTGAGCGACACCCAGGAGAGTCGCGGAGTCAACCACCTCGGGGCTACTCCAGCCCCAGCCTACCTCATCCCGGAGCCTGCGGTGGCCACAGCCGCGGTCGCCGCCGTCTGGCCAGTCTCTGGGGAGGACGCAGCATCCTCCTAGGAAGGGGACAGCATCCGGATCTTCGGAACCCAAACAAAACAGCGACTGCCCTCGCGGGCAGACGTGTTTACACAGTCGGCGCGCCAGGCGAGTTCAAGCTGGGCAGGAAGTGGGGAGCGGGGGAGGAGGGGGCGCGGTCCTCGGGACGTAAACAACCACGCGGATTTCAACCCCCTGCGCCCAGGGCAGGGCCGGCCGCCTGGGTTCCTTGCCTTGTGCCCAAAGGGGAATAAGAGGTAGGTGCGACGAGGTAAGGTATCCAGAGTCCCACAGCCAGGAAGGAGGTGCGTTTAAAGCCTCGTCTGCACCCCCAGTGTTTCCTGAGTCCCAGCCCTGGGGCACAAAGCACCCACGGGGGCAGGGGGCGTGGCCCGGACTCACCTGTGCCGCGCCACGCCACGCCCCCAGTGACGCCACCGGCGGACCATCCCCGCCCTTCGCCGCCACGGCGCCTACGACTACAAGTCCCATCCTGCCCCGCGCTGACGCTCACGGCGCCAGAGCAAGATGGCCGACACTGCGTCCACAGCCGGGGCCGGCGGCTCTGGAACGGTAAGGGAAGCAGGCACGGGGTTGGCACCTAGAGAGTTTGGTGTCCTCTAACTTCTGTCTGGCCCATGCAACACGCTCGTCCCCCAAAACCCAGTCCCATCATGAGCTCCAAGTGGAGGAGGGTCTTTCAGGCCGTACGTGACCCCCTTTTGGGACTTAGCGAAAGCCTCCAGAGTTCATGGACCTGCGTCCTGATTGGCTCGTCCTGGTGTGTATGTGGGGTGGGAACCAGGAACACCTTGTGATTGGTCCAAAGAGGCCGCTTTTACCCTCTCATTGGCCAACCCAGGTTGGGAGGGATTCCCTTTTCAAAATACTTAGCTTCCCTGTATTTCTGTGCTGTTACCTTTTGCCCGCCCCTCAACATCATGGATTGTTGTTTCAATTTTTCTTGTTAATATAATGGTGTAGAGATGGGAGGAAGAAGAGAGAGTTCCTTTTTCTCTTTTTTTAATGTATTTGGTACAGGGTCTCACCGTGTGCTTCGAACTCTCCTGTTTCAGCCTCTCCAGCGCAGGGATTACAGGCGTGCGCCACCACGCCCGGTCTGAGTTCCTTTTTCTTGTGAAGTAGATTTATTATGTTCCATCTCACGTCTTTAGGGGCTGGGGAGATAGCTCAGCAGCATAGCGCCTGCTTGGAAAGCACAAAGTGCCAAGTTCAATCACCAGTAACCAAAAACGAAAAAAAAAGAACATATTACACCTGGTTTTTCATCTACTTATTTATTTATTTATTGGTATTTAGTAGAGGGTCTACAGGGTCTCACCACTTCGATCAGACTAGTAGTGATTCTCCTGTTTTCAGCCTCTCAAGTGCTGGGATTATACAAGGGCTCACCACCATACCCAGTTTCCATCGCCATCTCAGTGCGCCCCAGGGGCGGGGCCTTTTCATTGAGCTGCATCCTAGCCTTTTTTTTTTTTTTTTTTCTCTTCCACGTATTTGGCACAGGGTCTCACTATACAGCTCTGACTGGTAGTGATCCTCCTGTTTTCAGCCTCTCAAGCGCTGGGATTACAGGCGCACACCACGACTCAGTCTCAATCGCCGTCTCAGCACTCCCCGGGGGTGGAGCTGGCACAGCAAGATGGGTTCGAACTCCAGCCGTTGCCTTCTGCCTAAGCAGGCGATTTAGTCCATTGAACTATCTGGCTGGTCCTTTTTTTTTTTTTTTTTTTTTTTCAGTACTTAGGATTACACTCAGGACCTTGCACTTACCAGGCAAGTGCTTATTCTACTGAGCTAACTCTCTGTCTTCATCTATACGTTCTCCTCACATGCTAAAGTACAAAGTGAAAAATGGCCATTTTGTTCTGTGGGAATGTTTTAGGTTACCAGAAAGATTGCTGTGTATTTAGTGCATCCTCAGTGCCCCATTATTACTCAGTTGACTGAGATCTATAAATCTACACCTGGGCTGGGAATATAGCTCAGCAGTGTGGCTCCTGGCTGTCAATTGCGAGGTCCTGTGTTCAATTCCCTGCATCCCCGCCTCCCAAATTCTAAACATTAGCCAGGCATGCCTGAAATCCCAGCACTTGGGAGGTTGACACAGGAGAACCTCTGTGAGTTTGAGGCCAACCTGGGCCACATAGTAAATTCAAGGCCAGCTTGAACTTCATCGCTGTCTCAAAAAAAGCAAAACACATCTGAACATTATGCATAAGGAAGTATTTTGCAAGAAAACTTGTTTGCCTTGAGATGTGTGAATTGTGTGATTGTACCCTAGTCCTGTGGTTGGAAAATCAATCTCTGTGCTCTTCCTCCTCCATAATTCACAGAGATCGGGAAGTAAACAGTCCACTAACCCTGCTGATAACTACTATCTGGCCCGGAGGAGAACCTTGCAAGTCGTGGTGAGCTCCTTGCTGACAGAGGCAGGATTTGAGAGTGCTGAGAAAGCTTCGGTGGAAACCCTGACCGAGATGCTGCAAAGCTGTGAGTACTGGGAAGCATCCGGCCTTTTTCAAGTCAACCCCAGTGTCTGTACCATGCGCTGCACTGTGATGGTGAGAGAGAACATTTGAGGGAAAAACTGGGCAGACTGAGGTGATTCAAGACTTTAGAGTCAGATGGATGTGAGTATAAATCCTCCCTCTGTCACTCAGTGATTTGGGCCAGGTCACTAAACTTCAGCTTCCTTGCTTGAAATAGGATAACAATTTGCACCTGGGAGAGGTGTGCACATAAGTGAGCGGTATGTGCAGAATGTTTAGTGAGGGGGAGACTATAAACTCCTGATGACGTGGAGGTGCCTTCTTACGGTTTTACCTGTTCTCAGAGGACTTCCACTTTGTTGAGGATGCAGGACTGAATCCCATGAAATAGGTACCATCACATAGAGTGATCAGCTACTAGACTGCGATACAAAGAATGAGGATGGATAAGTTTTATGGACTGGAAAAAAATATTTTGAAGGGATAAGTCATAGCTGTGCATGATTTCACATACCTAGAATTCCAGCTACTCAGAGCCAGAGTCAGGAATGTCCTAGGTTTGAGACCAGCCTGAGAATTTAGTGAGACCTTGTGTTTACAGACAAACAGGACTGGGCATGGTGGTGTGCACCTGTAATCCCAGCTCTTGGGAGGCTGTAAACAGGTGGATCCCTGTGAGTCTGATATAGTAGTGAGACCCTGAACACTCTGTAGACCCTTCCCTAAAATACAAAAAAGAAAAAAACAGCATGGAGGTACATTCCTCTAATCCTAGTTCCCTGGGAGGTTCAGGCAGGAAGACTGCAGGTTCAAGGCCAATCTGGGCAATTTAGTATGATCCTATTTCAAATTAAAATAAAAAAGCGTTGGGGCTATAGCTCTGTGATAGGGTCAGCACTGAGCTATGGTGTTTGTAAGAGGTTGACACCTCCAGAAGTGAGTAAGGGGAAGGTGTGCTCAGACAAGCTAAACTGCTGTGCTGCCCTGTTGGGGCCAGCGACATAGCTTAGTGGCATAACATCTGCCTTGCAAATGCGAGGTCATGGGTTTGATTCCCAGTACCTCATCCCCCCATCCCACCCCCCCGCCGCCAAAAAAAGAGAGCCATGTTGAACTGCATGTCTGTGTTGTGACATGTTTCAGAATTTCACAGAATTTCATTTCTTTTGGAGGATGAGTATTCCACTGTGTGAAATGAAAAGCTTGCTTGATTGCTTTGCTTTGCTTTGCTTTGCTTGCTTGCTTCTGTCAGGGCGCAATCAGTTGTTCCTCTTTTTTTTTTTTTTGTCTTCTTGAGATAGGGTCTTGTTATGCAGTTCAGACTGGCCTTGAGCTCACTTTGTAGCCCAGGCTGCTCTCGAACTCAACAATCCTCCTGCCATAGCCTCCTGATTGCTGGGATTACAGACTTGTGCCACCACGCCCAGGTCATTTTCATTATTTTGAATAATGCTGCTCTTAGTATAGAGTACAAGTGCATGTCTGAATTCATTCTCAGTTCCTTACTATGACAGACCCTATAGCTTTGATCCCCTCGTAGATATTTCAGAAATTGGGAGGAGTGCCAAGTCGTACTGCGAGCACACGGCCAGGACCCAGCCCACGCTGTCGGATATCGTGGTCACGCTGGTCGAGATGGGTGAGTGCGTCTTCACATCCCCTCGTGGGTCCCTAGTCTGCATTTAGCTTGAGAATTAGCACAAGAGGGCTTCTGTGAGCCCATGTGAGACATTCCTCGCCCCCGTTGGGTTCGTGCTGGCAGCCTTCCCAAGGGCCATGCCGTGGTTGTGCCCGGAGTTGAAGCCCTTCTGTGTCTGCTGTCCAGCAGTCCAGGCAGGGCTGTGTGTTCTCCTCTCACAGGTTTCAACGTGGACACTCTCCCTGCGTATGCAAAGCGGTCTCAGAGGATGGTCATCACTGCTCGTAAGTGACTCCACTGAACACCCAGGAAGCGCTCAGCCAATGCTTGGGGGTGAACTAGGAGTGGGGAGCAGTGTCTCTGTTCCTGGTCCCCCTGCAATCTCTGGGGCCACCCTTAACCTGATCCTCACCTGGGCTCCTAGGATTAGGATGTGAAGTTCAGTCACCACAGCGGACACCGTCCCTGAGACACTGCCCTATTCCTGCTCTTTAGCCCAGACGTGCAAAAGATGCTGCAGGAGAAAAGGAAGTTTCTGTTCGTCCTTATGTGGGGGCTGCTGAACTGACCCCTGGCCCATTGCTGCCCACTGTGAGCGCTGTTTGTTTTGCTTTGGTTTTGGTTTTTTTGACACAAGGTCTCACTATACAGTCCCTCCTAGCCTTGAACTCACTTTATAGCCCAGGTTGGCCTCAGATTTGCAATGATCTTGCTGCCTTAGCCTCTCAAGTGCTGGGACTATGGGTGTGCCATTCAGACCTGGTTTGAAGACACTTCTTCCTTCTTTTCCTCCCTTCCTCCCTTCCTTCCTTCCAGGCAGGGTTTCGAAGTGTAGTTCAGGCTGGCATCAAACTCACAGTAATCCTCCTGCTTCAGCCTTCCAAGTAAACGGA